GGTAAGACCACATTTAATGGCTATGAGAATATCTCTGCTTAATTTGTCAGAAATAAAAATACAGACTAAACATAGAAACCTGTCATAAATGGTGGGAGAGGAGAAAGAGAGAAATGCGTGTCTGTATTGTCCAAACATGAACAAAGCCAGCAGAGAAGGATTCTGAGGACACATTCCCATAGCGTAGCATTAAGTAGAGAGCGAGCTATTACCCAGATCAATCAATCAATCAATCAATCGACCTTTATTGGTATAACATACAGTTTTTACTATTACCCAGATGTGGAAAGGACAGAAACAAGATAGAACTGGCGTGCTACCTAGCACATCCTTCTTCACCCCCCCCCAACACTTTCTTGGTCAGTTTGCAAAAGTTGCTAGTTCCAACTCTAGCTTTGGGACTATTGAGTGAGCTCCTTCAGCACCTCGGATTCCCCACAGACCAGGCACTCATGACTCCTTAGCCCAATTTATTTATTTATACCCCACAATTTCCCCCAATGGGAACCAAAAGTGGCTTAGATCACAATCCTCTCCTCCATTTAATGCTCACAAGAAGCCCATGAGATATGGCAGGCGGAGGCTGTGTGAGTGGCCCAAGGCTACCCAGCAAGCTTCCACAGCATGGTGGGCATTTAGACCTGGATCTCTCAGATCCTTGTCTGGCACTCTGACCACTACACCATTCTGGTGCGAAGGACTTTTAAAGAAGAACTTCTCCACCCCCTTGGCAGTTGTCTAGGGAATCTGTAGAAGCTACATCTGAAGCCAGTACTTTGAAGGAGAACCATAGATGCATAGATCCTAGATCATCTGAAAGAATGAGACTGCTGAGAAGCTGGGCAGATCAGAACAGAGTCTGCTTAATACAGGCACTGAAGCATACAGCTGCAGCAAAGCAGTATGTGACTGCACATGCGCAGTGGGGCTTATTCACACTCCAGTTGGTAAGAACTGTTCAGATACAGGCAAACAGTTTGCTGAACACTTGATTGTGATGATTGCATCTTTTGAGCAGATCACAAGTTGAACCAGTAGGCGATGGAGCATCTTTGCTTTAAGGACTTGGTTACTTGACAATATTTTGCCTGTCCAATACCAAACTCCCTGCTTCTTTATATTTAGCTATCATAACTGATGGCTTTTCAAACAGCAGTCATGTGGTCCCACATTAGCCTCAGCAGAAAATCACATCTAGACTTCTTGCCCCTGTAAGCATAATGCAAGTGTTCAAAGTGTCACAGGCTCAAAACTTCATGACAAATTATCACATAATTCTTGAGCTGGATTTCTGAGGAGGCAGGCTACCAGTTCAGCATGCCAGATGAATATGGTAATCTTTGCAAACAATTTTTTTTAACTTGATATGAAACTCCATGCAGTAACTGTACCACTGAGACCAGGACTGTTAAAAAACAAAACACCACAAAGGGATTTGTGCCTCTGGCCTATGTACACATGTCCATTTAGTTGTATCAACAGTCACTGTAAAGAGCCAGTGAACTGGCCAGAGACAGGGGCATTCCTAAGGAATAATCTCATGTAGCCTGGTGCCCAGGAGAGAGGAAAACACACTGCTCCCACCAAATCACACACAGCACACAATATACAGGGATCAGCCTACCCAATATCCAGTATTAGCTATGCAACTGGGATATCATGGTGAATGCCAGGTTGGCTAGCAGAGCAAAGGGTTGACTGTCTTTGTGGCATTCAGATGACAGGTTTTTATGCTTCTGAGGATTCAGCTAGGTGCATAGGAAATGTTCTGACCAAATTTTTTTAAAAGCAGGGGGGGGGGGGTTTAGCAAACCACTTATCAACCCTGTTCTTTTTCTGCTCTCCTTCCTTTTCACCCCCACAAGTGGACAATGCCAACTGTATCAGCATTCCTACCCAGAAACCCATGTAGTAAATAGTGACACTGATTATCTCACATGTGAAACCTATGTCTACATGCAGGAAAATGCAGACACCATGTGCATTGCATGCTTCTCTTTAACACAAAATGCTACTACATCTGAAGCAGTCAGAAGAACTCATCCTTTGTGCCAGGAAGAATGGAGCAAACTGGTTCCCCCTGCACACTCCATTTCAGGGGTGAGGTTGGCGCCCCGGGAGTGGGATGCCCAGCTGTCCCTGCCAAGAGCTTTCACAGAACCACCTGTGTTGTGGATTAAAGAGAAGCTATTTGGGTGGCAGAGATAAATCTGGCAGCACAGCAGGGACCATGGGGGGTGGTGGTGAACCACCCTCCTTCAGCCCATTGGTAGTAAAATATCAGAGTACTCCCCTAGAAGACACCTGTGGTCCCTATTGAAAAAACTGGGAATGTGTAGCCCAAAGATGTATGTAAACACACCAGACCATATCAATGGCACACCATGTGCAGCAGCCAGTCTACAACAGTGATCACATCCAGATGCTTCAGAAATTTTTAACAGCATCCAATAGTAAGAGAACTCACTAGTTTGGTCCTGATATCTACTCCCCCCCACCTTTTGGCAGATTAAGGTATAAAGGATACTTTTACAATTAAAACAGATGCTCTGAGAATTCCAGTCTCTCTTGTAACCACGTAATTACCCAGACCTTCATGCGTTCTGATAACTAGTTATTTGCAAATTGTAGTAGGAGAGAGATCAAGGTTCACCAGGTGCTGTGCAAACACCTTCCCCAGCACCGAGTTTGAGCAGTTGCCCTCTATGGGCTGCATCAAGCAGAACCTTCTTTTCCTCATGTAATTCTTTTGCTCTGTGCACTGATCAAGAGCATCACAGCTGCTTCGGTTTTGAATTGGATATCTGTGCCTATTTTATAGTATATTGGCTCTTGTACAGGGAAAATTATTTATACAATGAAAACAAAAGATATTTAAAATCCCCCTCCAACTCATTGCATAGTTTGTTTTTTAAAAATGTTAGATACCCTTTATAGCCATTTATTTTCTAAGGGGGGTGGTGGACACATTACAATTTTAATTGAAGTGTGCTATCTTGCATGGCAAGTATATTTCTACAAGTGTCCCACAATGTGTGACACCTATACAGGGCAGAGTTGGACCCAAGGATCTTGGAAAAGGATGCTGGACTAAGCCTTGCGAGACCCATGATCAAATCCCTATGCAACCACAAAGCTCACTTAGGGACCTCAAGCCAGTGACTGTCACTTTCAGCCTCACCTACCTCACAGGATTGTTAATGATAAAGGGGGGGGGGGAGCCATGGCAGCTGCCTTGAGTTCCTTGAAGGAAGGGGAGGATATAAGTGATCTTTGTGATTTTTTTTTAAAAGACCCCAAACTTACTTGCTGTTGTTGTTGCTAGCCATTCAGTCACGTCCAACTCTTGGCCATTCTATGGGCCAGCTCTCTCCACATTTTCCTATCTTGTACTGTTTCTTTGAGTCGTTCCATGCTCAGGCTGGTGTCGACTTTTTTGGCGTCTAGCCATATTTACTTATATAGCAAAACAATGCATCAGAGATAAACACCCTCTTTCATGTACTTATCTACTATATATAGGCAGGGGAAACATTACAAGAAATTATACTCCTTTTCATCCTTAAGGGGTACAATTTTAGTATCCCTTTCTGTATTAATAAGTAGATCAGTCGAGTTAACCTTTTCGGAGAGTTAAAGGCAGTTGGAAAAACAACTCAATCCTGGCTTGTGCTGTGTGCATCCATCCTGGTTTTGTTTCTGATGAACAGGTTTTTGCATTGTTTCTAAAACCTCATTGAGCAGAGGCGACAGTGTTTAAACTGTAGGGAGCCAGACATCTCTCAGGCCACTTTCTCTTACTCCAGCCTTTATGTCTACCTTATTTGGTATGCTGGATTAAGATAATTTGCTCATAATCTATTCTAGAGCAGCTCTAGAGGAGAGCCAAAGCTCTTGGGTTTGCAACAGCACAGGGAAGTTTCAACACAATCTAGGACTGATTTCTTGCCCCAAGAGTTGTTATGGAGGGACTTTGGGTATCCTGTCCACATGCCTCTTTATAGTCTGTTCCTACTCAAGACTCCTATTGCCTCTAGTTTCAGCACTTCTGCAGGAAAATGAGCATTACATATGCTATATAATGGGACTCACTGGTTACTTAACACTTTCTAACACAGCAGGTTACAAATTCACACACGGCATGTTACCCTCAGTAGTTTTTGATTGCCCAACTTGCGATCCAACCTGAATGCACCTTTGAAGTGGAACTGGCACCATATGGGACTTCTGGAATTCATCCAAGTGTACTTTTCAGTATTAGCAGTCACTGTCAACACTAAATATAAAATGAATTTGGAGGGAACTTCTAGCAAGTTCTCTTACCCTGAAGCATAATTTTGAATTTGAGGAAAGAGTAGGAGTTAATGTAGCACAGATGTTATGTGGTTTAGGGATTTCAGAAGACAAAGTCACAGCACTGAAGTATTAAGATTAGCAAACTGATATTTAAAAAAAACCTAACAAAAAACCTAAGTATCAGTTTCTTTAAAAGAGTATCTTGAAAGCTGAATTTCAAAAGAAAAACGTAAAAAATGTCAAAATTCTAGGCCAAAGTCCTAACATTTTGCCAAATGTGTGCAAAAAGGGTTAATGCTCCTTTTCAGAAACTAGAGAAAGGCCCTTTTGTTGCACTCAGATTGGTCACTTAGGCTATAGACTGCTGAAAGATGTTTGAAAGAGAGCATTATGCATGGTACATATGTTCATCCCACTTTTGTCGGATAAACAGGTGGGGCAAAGTGTTATATCGTTTTAAGAACCTGCTTGATTTGAGGCAACAACTGAGCCGCAGGCAGTGCATGTGTGCACACATCACGGGGAGCTGCATCTCCCAAAGTCTTAGCTTGTTTTGGGTAGGCTCCTCACTAATATAACCAAAAGCTGATGCATGGGGAGACTCCAGTTTCAACAGCTTGAGTTACTCTTGGCATGTAAACGGATCTCTGAGGATCAAGCACAGAAACAAGTGGATTAGAATTACATCTACTCAGGGTATTTTTTTATTCAATATATTAAATATATATTAATAATTGAAAAGTCACATACTGGAAATTGGAAAGCGGGGATAGACAAATATAAATGTCAAAAAAAAATGGTGGACTTTACAATACAAAGTTTATATACACAGAAAGACAGAGGGTGTCCTGCAGGCGTAGGGCATTGCACAATTGCCAGGCACAAGAGCCCCTTTCCCTTCCCATTCTAACCTCTGCTCTTCATTCACCTGTATTTACAAGACTGCTGTTCTCATATATTTATATATAGATATATACACAACTTTTACAAAAAAAAGAATTCGACAAAAACTTGACTGCAATTGACAAAAGCAGCAGGTGGGCAGAAAACCATCCAGTGGACGCGTGCTTATTTACGGCATAACAACCCCCACTGCAACAAGTGCCGGATGCAAGGGGCTTCCGTGCGGGGTGGTGGTGATGAAATTCCATCTCCTGCGTCTGGGAGTGAAGTTTCAGCCAGACTTGACCCAGGACTGGCAACTTGTGGGAAAAAATGAAATGAGAAGGCAACTCTTTGCATCTCGAGTCCCTTGCCTGCAAAAACAAACAGCATTCCAGAAAGTGTTCCAGAAAGGCGACTGGTGCAGCTGTATGGAATTTTAGTGCTATATTGCACAAGAAGCCACTAGTAGGCCATGGGGAAAGGCAGCATCAATTAGGGATATTGTGCATGTAACTCTAGAAGGCACACTGAGATTTCCCCCCAAGGTTAAAAAAAAGAGAGAGAAACCCAAGAAGTTGTCCCAGGTTCAGAGAGCACTTTCATGACGATTCTGAATGTCCAAGTAGCCTCTAAGCTTAAGGGGGAAAGGGGGGGGGAGTGGCATTGGGTCTTCCGTGGTCTTCAGTCCTTAACCACTGTCATACACCAAAGTTCTTCCAATGTCTCTGGAAATGTTCTTGTAGCCTCCCCTCCAAACAGTGGATGGCAAGGAACTTCTTCCGCCAGTTTTTCTTTACCAAGGGAGGGGGATGCAGTAGAGAAGGAAAAACCCTCCCTCTCCCCCAAGGGAGCACACCTGGAGCATGGCAGCATCCCCAGTCGAGTCCTCAGAATGGCAAAGTGTCCATGAATATTTTGTCCACAATGGGAGGCGGGGGCACCAAGTCCTCCAGCTTTAGGTAGAAGATGCGCTGTAGGCCCTGGGTACAGAGGGTGCGGAGTTCTGGGAGTTTGCCCAGCAACTTGGAGAGGCAGTTTGGATGCATTTGTTCATTGGTGGTAGAAGTCACATGGTCTTTAAGGCAGCTGACAATGCGGTTCTGGAGGTCCTCAACCTTCTTGGGTTCTTTTAGCCCATGGCGGTCTGGTTTGGAGACGGAGCGAGGAGGAAAGAGAAAGATAGAAGAAATGAGTCATTAGAAGGAAACAACCAAGTTCTTAAACAAACTTATATACTGGGAACAGCATGTAACACTCTGTGCCAGTGATTCACAAGCCAGCATGGGGACCAGAACAGGTGCTCCACCAGAACAGCCATATGCCATACAAGTCATTGGAGCACACCATCATCTACATCAGAAGTCTTTGGTGGTCACATTGGGGAAGCCCTGCCTTAAGTTATACGTCTGAGAACTAATAAGGAGGACAAAACTCCGGGGATTATTCCTGTACAAAACAGAATGTCACCTCCATATCACAAGAACATGCCTAAGATGGGATGCCATGAAGTGATTTCCTCTGGCAACTAACACTGACAAATCAAGTTGCTCTCTGGCAATCAGTCAAGTATCTGTCACCAATATTTATGCTCATCTGGAGGACCTTTCCCTCAATATTTGGGGAGCATCATGAACATAAGCATATAGGTCCTGGTCATTATAATAAAAGGATGGTCCCAGAGGTTTTCAGTATGTGGGGCAACAGTCATCAGAAGACAGAATTTCTTAGCTCCTGCCCCACAGTTGTACTTCCTGCTTCATCCATCCTAGAAGCCCATGTGTCCACCTACCTGTGATTATGACAAGCGCAGCAAGGCAGGAAAAGGAGGGTACATCAATGTTCATGCGATGGAGGCTCTGCGAGAACTCTATAATTGAATCTATCCATTCCCCAAAGCCCCGGACGCATTGCATGCGATGCAGCACCACTCCATTGCAAAAGATCAGCTTGCCCTCTTCTGGCTTGGACCTGTGAGAGAAAAGTGTGGCTTCATCAGAGAGGAAGTTTGACTTTAAAAGAATCCGCACTGCCAAAAGACCAGAAGGGATAAATAAGAAATGTATAGGATCAGCCAACAGGGAGGGAACATGTTGCATTGTCCTGGTGGTAACAAGGCCTTGCCATGAGCAATGTATGTATCTTGGGGCCAAGGATAATGGTACTTGGTTTTCTCCTTTGTACTGCCGCTGACCTCGGCAAGCAAAACACCTGACTGTTGCCGTTTCCCTGAAAACTTTTGATTCCAGGGACAAAACTCAACCCACTGACAGAAGTTATCTGGACAGCCTCCTCAGTGACATGACTTGCCCATTTTCCTCATAGTGAGTTTCATAGGCCCCGGTCACACGGCAAAGTTGCTGCGGGAGAGGCACAGAAGGTGGGCGGATTATCTGGGCGCGATCACACCCCAACATTTGGGAAGTGGAGTGCACCTGTGGCTTACCGTCGACAATGCGCATTTAAAAACTAGTACCTCCAAGGTACTAGTAAACGTTTGCCACGGGCTGCCTCCAGACGCCCATGGTGTGATCGTGCCGGCACGCGGCATTCCCCTCCGGTCCCTCGTTTACCCGCTGGCGCCGAGGGAAGGACCCGTGCTGTGCCGCCGGCGCGTCTGATCACGTAATCACGGATCAAACTGCCCCGGGGCAATTAGCCACGCCTCCCCCCGCGATATCAGGCCCGTGTGCCGGGGCCCTCTGTTTGGCAGACATAGTTTGACGCTACACTCAGTTACTCTGGGTCTATTGAGGAAAGAACAACAATCCCTGCCTTCCATGAAGTAGTTCACACTGTTTTCTAATTCTGTAATTAAGGTTATAAAATGTTTAACCTCTCCTACTAGATTTTACTACAGGCATTTATATGGGTCAGTTGGAGGGTATTAATTCTTGTATTCTATTGTATATAACTAACAAAAACAACCAAACATTCTATACTCAATATTGCAAAACACTGTGCTGACATGTAAACCGGTAAAAACGTGCATATATATTTGAGCACCTGAATATGATGCTTTATATGCTTTGTAACTTTGCAATATAACTTTCAGTAAAATGCTATTTTAAAAATTCTGTAACTAAGGTCCTACGCCATTGTTTATTGGATGTCTTATGCTATCTGAATTAAAAAAAAATTGTAATCCATCTCAAGTCTCAGCAAGAAAGGTGAGCTATAAATGAAGTAAATAAATACATAAATAGTTTCTCTGTTTCACCAACCCAAGTTCCTTTCTGCTTTTCTCACCAGTTTTTAGGAATCAGCCTTGCAAGCCTCCTCCCCCCACCCCAAGACGACATGAGGTTCTTGACTGCATGTGTGAAGCCAATGACAAGAGTGACGTTTCGTGACCATACGCTGCTTTTGGTATGTATCCATAACACAAGCCTTTCAAAGTGCCTGCATTGAGCCAATTGCTCAAGAGAATATCGGGTGCAAATGCACACCTGGCTCTAGGGAGTTAGTCTGAGATGTGGAATGACATGAAACAGAGATGATAGTGCTGAAGACTGTGGCTTCTATCAGAGCTTCGGAGCAATCTCAAACCATTAATGCTGAACTCCTACTTAGCATAGTAAAGCTATTGTTGTATCAGAGATCAGAGTTTTGGAGGTGCAGACACAGGCATTTTATAACAGAGCAGAGCTTTAAACTAGAATCTCTCATGCCCACAGAAATATATTTCATATAGCTGTAATCTTACTGGCCTTGTTTTACCAACCGAGAATTGGATGCTTCCAGAATAAGCAAGGCCATAATGGAACAATCCTACCTCTGTTGCCTTCTCCTTTGCAACTAATATATTTAAGGGACGCCCAAGAATGAGGCTACACTTCTCCTGCCATTTTGGATCTACAGCCACCAATGACCATCCTTTACCATTCACGCAACCAGATGGATGCATCCAGCTACCATTTGCTTTGGGCCAAATGATCTGTTCTAGGAACTAAAAAAGGACCATTGGTTTCATGCTGCAAAGTTGCTGTGGGTTACCTGTATGCTAGCCGTAGAATGAAGAGTTCGAGGAAAGCAGACTCTAGAAGCAGGTCTTGATCCTCTTTCGGAAGTTCTAGGAAGCCCTGGATCTTTTCTGCCCATTTCCGAATCACATCCATTGAGCCTGTCAATAGGTCATAGAACTGCTGCACATCCATACAGTCCTCCTTCTCAAACTGGTATGAGACACATTCCTGGAACTGACAGGGCAAAATAAGCAATGTGTTGAAACAGGTGAAAATAGATTTGTATTCCCCCCCCCTTTTTGTAGAACAGGAAGAGTTACAAATACTGCAAATACAATAGCTCTTTCATGGTTTGCACTAAATTCATAAAAGAATTAAGAATTTAGTCAAGACTGCAAATTCAGACAGCAAAGTTGTATGATTTGAATCAGAAAATAGATCACTTCTGGATTCTCAGGAGTCACTGTGTTCTCTGAACAGCAGTACAGGGAGTTGGGAGTACATTCAACATGAATATAGATGTTGTTCAGGGCCTGTCAGCACCTAGATCAGAGTCAGCGCTACCTAGCAGCATGGATTCACAACTGTAGAACATGGATGCTTCCACATGGCTGGGACATTACATACAAAATCCCAACAGATCTATTTAAAGGCTTAAATGACCAGTGCTGGTTTCATGCTGCAGAATGGCTACACACCAAAAGAGAGGAGGGGTCTGCTGACCAAAGACAGAACTGACATCAAAATATAGAATGCTCCTCAACTGGGGGAGGGGGAGTTTTCTTAGGAGTGAAATCCCCCCCATAGTTTCACGCCATTAAAGTTTGGTAGGATTATCAATGTTCCAATAAAATATTTCAGCAGTGCTAAACCTGGCCTACAGGCCACCAGCTGAGCATGAAGACGTTTTTGCATGAAAAAAAGGAAACTTGAATACAAATCTAAAGAAAAGCTACTAAAACTCTTGGGTGACCCAGTGAAGGTGCCAGCCAGTAGATTCTGGCCAGACAAAAGGAAGCGCATGATACAAAATTAAACATAGATGCATGGTTGCCCTCAGTTCACAGTGACAGACAGCTGCATAGATGGGGACCAGAAAAGTTCGTGAATGACAGGTCTACTAATGGATATAAGCAATGACAGCTAAAGGGAGCCTCACCAATCAGATGTAGCATACCTCCAGATATCAGGTGCTGGGAAAGACCTTCATGCTTAAGAGCTTTCCAAAGGCACCTGACAACAAGCTGTTTGAAACAGAGCACTGGACTAAATAGATCTTGTCCAGACCCAGCATAGCAGTTCTTCAGTCACCTACCCCTTTTTTATGACCAGAGAGTCTGTCCTAGGCAGTCTGTGCTTGCCTCCTTCATTGGACTACATAGCTGATACAGGCCAGGACAACCTGTGCTGTCCACATGGCCAGCGTTCCACAGCCAGTCCAGAGTGTTCTGAAGTGAACAGGAATCCTCTTTCCTTAGGCTACCTCTTGGACTACCTGTTGTGAGCTACAGCGCTGAACTGGAGACAAAAAGCTGTCTGTCTGGCTGTGCCTTTGGACTGTCATTGGAATTTGGGCTGGGGACATTCAGCAAGTTGTCCCCTCCACCATGCCACAAGATATGCCTCTTAGCATATCACTTCTGAGTTGGCCCACCAACAAATGTTAAAATATATCACAGGCCCAATAAAATATATCACAGACCCAATAAAAGCCAGTGATAAAACCCAATAACCTTCACTGAAACCATCATCAGACCATATAAAACCATCATCGAGTAAGCAGTTTTTGACAGAACCTTGGAACTGAGACAGAGAACCCAGAATGTTTTCCCTGACCTGTCTCTGCCCTCCCCATCACCAACTGCAAGGCCACAGACCGCAAAAAACATGGATTAGTACCTTGGAATAATCAAGTTTGGTGGCACTGGGTATGGAATCTATGTGCGCTCTCACGAGAGAGGAGATGAGGCTGACTGGGGAAGCATCTTGAGCTTGTTTGGGTTTGGAGGGCAGCCGACCGCGACGGCCTTTCAAGCTGTCTGTCCGCACCACTGAGGAAAGAAGGGGGGGAAAAGGAGAGGTGAGAACACTGTTTTAGAAAAGCAACAGCTACTGACAAGATTAGTGGCGAAAAGCCTTCCTAACTTGGCCTGAATCTGAGCCAGAAAAGTAACTGTTGACGGAATTACCACATGCTAAGTGTTTTGAGCAACATGCATGGTGGCACTGAGTACCCTGGGCGTTCTGTACTTTGTGAACGCATTAGGAACTGTGGAATTTGATACTGGGCACACACTGGGCGTTCTGTACTTTGTGAACGCATTGGGAACTGTGGAATTTGATACAATTCAGCCATCCCAAGTGCAGCTTTGTATGCTGAGAGGAAGCCAGAGGAAAAGACAGCACAAGAGACTTGTTCTTCTTCTCTCCAACTGTCCAGCCCTCATCTAAAGGCAGGCCAGAGGCACATTCTGTCCCTGTACTAGAAGAGCACATATCTCTCCTCAGAGAGAAGACACTTGTGCTCTCTTTGTCTGCCTGCCTCCATTTCTTTGGAGCATCTGAACAGGCTGCAAATAGCCTCTTTTTTTTGCCAAAATAGGTAAGCAAGCCTCACAGGCAGAACAGAACAGTGACAACTATACTAGGAACTGTTATAGTCTAGATATTCGCCTTAGCTGTGCATCAGCATGTATCTGATGCACAATCTAGCCACAGCACAGCAAAGTTTAGATCACTTTGCTCAGATGAGCATCAGCACATGGTAATGCTCAGGAGAGCCATTTCTTGCATTTAAATCTTACCCCTTCCTTCAAAGAACCTTGGGATAGTATTCATGAATGGCAGGGTCCCATTTTCTCCCTACTCCCAACAACCCTGTGAGACTGGTTTAGCTTGAAAGAACAAGGGATCTAAGGTCACAGAATGAACTCCAGAAGCAATGAAGAATCAGCCATTGATTCCGTCAACAAAAAGGGGTATGGGAAAGGCACCATATCATTTCTGATTATTGTATCTAGGTCAAGAAATGCCTTGTTTTGAAAGAACACCTGGGACATTCACAAACAAGTTCTACAGAGATGGGAGAAGTGGGCATGCATGCACTGGGCATGCCGGGCCTTGTATTCACCCCAAAGAACTGAGCTCCCATTTACAGTTAAGCAGAACCGATGCAAACCAGTAAAGCAGGACAGCTTCCCGTATCCTCTCTTGTTTCCAGCAACCTCAAATGGGACTAAGTGTCAAGTATCAGGTTTAAGTATTTTTGGGACCATCTCTGTAGGGTTCGGTCCAAAGAACTGTGAGTAGAACTTTGCTCGTGAAGTGGATTTCTCTCCTCCCCCTTCCTGTCGTAGCCCTCTGCAAAGCAACTCCTGGAAGTCAGAGACCCTCAAAACATGGGATGCAGTGGGGAGGATCTATGGTGGGAACGAAGGGGGAAACTGCAGCCAAAACACCCTTCTCCATGCTAATGGAAGTACCTTCCTGCTCAAGGAAGAGGGACTTTGGATCCAACCCAGATTCTTTTAAGCCTCCTTATATTTAAGGGTTCATTCTCCAAATCAGAATTATTAGTCACCCCTTGATTATCTCACCACACACTGATAATTCATGGTTGGAGCCTTGACCGCCCCACTATTTAATGTTTATGGCTGAAAAGTGAATCCAGCTTACTGATTTGTTGGCACCAAAGCAGGAAAAGGCGGCTCCCGCAAATAACTTAATGCAGGAGTTCAAGGATGTGGTCTTTTTTGCAGTCCAGTTTTGTAACCTCGTTTTATTAGTCACCAAAAGCCTTCATTCTTAAAAGTGCATCCAAGGGAGTGGACACCTAGCCCAGAGCGGAGCCCAAGCATCACAAACGGGATGGAACGTGCCTTACCTTCTTTGACCATTCCCACAGCAAGGCACTTCTGGAAACGACAGAACTGGCACCGGTTTCTCCGCCGTTTATCCACAGGGCAGTCTTTGTTGGCTAAGCAGATGTACTTGGCATTCTTCTGTACCGTGCGCTAGGGGAGAGAATTAAGGGGTAGGCATCACCCTCACGCAGAGATAATACCGTACATTTTCAACCTTGATGGTGGCAGGAACAAAGGCCTGTCTACCAGTGATTTATTAATTGCCAACATTTCCACAACCTGTGGTTTTGAGTTTCATAAGGGCACTGTCCCAAGGGCATGACAGAAGACATCTCATATTCCACGTGGGTGCACTTTCCAGCCACAGCTGAGCCGAAACATTTCCGCATGTGGGTAATATTACTGTAATGCCACAGAAATGTGGTGATGAAAGACAGAAGTGGTATCGAGCAAGCATGGCACAGGACTGTACCAAGACCTCCAATTGTCTCAACTCAACTAGAATGTATGAAGGTGCAAGACAGAAGTGGTATCGAGCAAGCATGGCACAGGACAGCCTGAAGCAACCTGTACCAAGACCGCCAATTCTCTCAACTCAACTAGAATGTATGAAGGTGTGTGATGTAGGGTTGGCACACATGGGTGTGCGAACACCCAGTCTGAGTAACTGTCACCCAGTGTGTGACAGTAAAATGCATAGATTTGGATCCAGATTAGCGTTTCTCCAAGCACTTCTGCCTGCAGAGTGCAATAACCCCACACAAAATACCCAGCCCTGTGAAGTTACATTTCTAGTATTTTAGAAAAGTGAGGTATTTACTAACTATTATCAATCCATGGTTTTCTCCCTCAGATCTGCAATTTAATTCTCAGTATGTATCAGACACTAGACTCTTCTAGAAGCAAGCAGCTGCAGGACCCACGCAAGTCAATGAACACACATTAATGGAACATGTCTGAGTGGCTGCATGGGTTAATTTGTCAGCCACTGTCAAGTCCCATCCCTGGATCTGCATATTGAGAATGCAAGCTGAGAGGACCTATGCAGCAATCTGCATATCCTGAAGCAATTGCAAGAATCAAAGTGAATCAAAGACTCAGAAATTTGACTGTGGGCATAGGGGCATGACTGCATCAAAGATGTTCATTGTTAACTGTAGCCATGTGAACGGAACTATGATTTCTCAGCACCCTCACCAGATTGCACCTCACAGGATTCTTTGGATGATGCAACAGCAATCCTTTGCAGCACAGACAAGCATTCAGAAACGCTTACCACTTTCTGAAATCTCAACTGTTATGCTCACATGCAATACGTCCCTCATCTGATACATGCAGGTGTCCAAAAATATTAATTTGGCTTACTGACCCCACCACTATTGGTGTTCACTACTAGGCCCCCTCCCCAAGCCCTCTATCTTGGGGAACAACAGTACTCTTTCACAGGATTCTTTGGATGATGCAACAGCGATCTTTTGCAGCACGGACAAGCATTCAGAAACACTTACCACTTTCTGAAATCTCAGCTGTTATGCTCACATGCAATATGTCCCCCATTTGATACATGCAGGTGTCCAAAAATATTAATTTAGCTTACTGACCCCACCACTATTGGTGTTCACTACTAGGCCCCCTCCCCAAGCCTATCTTGGGGAACAACAGTACTCTTGTGCTGGAGTACAGAGAAAGAGAGTCGTCCCCGTTTGCTATCTTCTACAAACTGCCGGGCAAGTGAGAATTCAGAGGTGGGCAGATGCATATGACTACAGGCACTGGCCTCCAGTCACTGGGGTCTACAAGAAGAGAGGAAGCTGCCAGCTCTATTCGGGCACTGTCTCCTGCAGAATTCTAAGCTGGCATCAATGAATAGCCCAAGACAGGGGCATTTTCCTCCTTGCCAGGGTCCAACAGATTATAATTTGGTTGGAAGAGCTATTTTCCCTTTTATGTGGCCTTCCCAAATTTCTGTTTTTAATAAGCAGCTAGTGGTGTGGGTGGATAGCTACAGCACCTGAGTGCCATCTTCTGTCTGGAAGATACCATGAAGAAATGCTTTTCTGGCACAAAACAACAACAAGAAGAGCTGGTTTTTATACCCCGCTTTGCTCTACCAAAGGAGTCTTTTAGTGGTTTACAATCACCTTTCCTTCCTCTCCCCACAACAGGCAACTTGTGAGGTAGGTGGGACTGAGAGAACTCTAAGAGAACTGTGACTGGCCCAAGGTCATCCAGCAGGGAATCAAACCCAGTTCTCCAGGTTAAAGGTTGCCACTCTTGGCCACTACACCAAACTGGCCATTTTGATCAAGACAATAATTTGCAACCAGGGTGGCTGTGGGATTGCTGGGTGCCAAGAGAACCACCCATTCATAGCCAGTTTGGTGTAGTGGTTAAGTGCGCGGACTCTAATCTGGGAGAACTGGGTTTGATTCCCCACTCCTCCACTTGCACCTGCTGGATGACCTTGGGCAAGCCATAGTTCTGACAAGAGCTGTCCTTGAAAAAAAGAGCAGTTTCTGTCAGAGCTCTCTCAGCCCCACCTACCTCACAGGGTGTCTGCTGTGGGGAGGGGAAGGGAAAGGAGTTTGTGAGCCACTCTGAGACTCCTTTGGGTAGTGAAGGGCGGGGTATAAATCCAATTTCTTCTCTTCTTCTAACATAAAAAGCATTTCTGGCAATTGCCAGCTTGGGTGATTTTGAAGGCTTAACCTTTGAGGGATGGGAGGCTCCAAGTCTTTAGTGGGCTTACCTCCTCCCTTCAAAATGTCCTTGCCATATACCCATTGTGAGGGGAATAGTATCTTCCACAATGACTGCCTTTATTAGGCAAGAGCAGAGAATGCTCTGATGACTGCAACGGTCAACAGCAGAGCCTCCCCAACAGGCCTTGAAACAGCAGAAGTCTTGGCATAGGTGTACAGGCTGCTGGGCGATGCTCACCTAATGGTACCTCACCACTGCGGAACTCCAGAGGCAGAACCAGGGAGTACTGGGTACAAAGTGAGAAGTGACAAATCCCTGCTTACCTTGAAAAAACCCTTGCAGCCTTCACAGGTCCGGACGCCATAGTGCTGACATGAGGCATTGTCTCCACACACAGCGCAGCGCCCCTCATTGGAACCGGGACTCCGTGCCTTTGTTGGAGAGAGGGAATTGTCCATCAGGCTGGGGCTGTCCAGGACTGGAGAGGTCTGGTTGAGCGGCAAAGGGGAAAAACTCACTGAAGGGGAGGTTTGTGGAAGTGAGAAGACGTCTCCATCCACCAAGTGCTGGTGGGCAGCTGACTGCATCTTCAGGGGACTCTGAGGAGGGATCACAGGGCTGTGAGCGGAGGGGCCAAAGGAGAAGTAGGAAGGATGGGCAGAGCCAGTTTTTGGCGGCTCTGTTGTCGTTGCTCCCGCCACCCACGGCCTCATGCCCTCATACGTGTGAGGGGGGGAATAGGCCCCAAAAGAGTTCTCCCAAGATGGCCCCTGGGAAGTCTGGAAGGTTGGTGTGGAAGGTGAGGGGACGGAGCACGGGCTGCCGTAATAGTCTGAGCCACTCGAGGACAGAGTCTCATCCAGCTGGCTGCTGAAAGAGCCAGGGTAACAGCCGTACACTTGGAAATCCTCCAGCTTGAAGGACGTTGTGGTAGGGTTTGCCGCTGGGATCTGGTAGAGGAAAGCGTCGAATTCACCAGTGTAATTGTCCATGAATGTGCTGAAGCTGGGCAGAGAGGTGGTGGCAGCAGTAATCTCTGTGTTCATCAGGTCCATGGTGGATTTGCCAAGCTCAGGGGTCAAGAGGTCTGCTGGGTAGCGCTCACAGGGTCCTCCGCTCTGAAGCAAGGTCCCATATTGAGTTTGGATACAGGGCATCTCTAGGAAAGGGAGGGAGGAAAAACAGCCCAGTTACTGGATATTCTGTCATAAGATCCTCCAAAAAGGATGCTAGCAGAGCTGGTGATTATAGCCCAGAGAGGCATGGGAACCTGACAGTAGGAAATGTCACTGATTAGAATGTATTTATTCCCCACTTTTCCTCATGGTTCAAGGGAAGAGATGGTCCTTTAGATATCGGCTACTAAGGAAAAAGTGGAAAGGGATACCCCACCGATGATAATTTTGAAGTCAAACAACAGAAGCCTGCACAAAGAAATCATATGAAGTGCACATCACAATTGTTGATGGTTTATTACTGCCATCCAAATAAGTGAGCTCATTTATACTTTTTTTTAAAAAACTGCGTACTCTTCTTATGCACTGTAACTGGACAGATTAGTTAGATGGCTGCTATAGTGTGGTCCCATGCAAAGTTACTGGTTTATTAGATAATGTGAGGAACATCATATATTGTACAAATTGGGCAACCCTCAAACAAGACCAAAACATTTCATTGACAGGAAATAACTGACATGTGTGCTGCCACATAAAATGGAAGAACAAGGCAAACCTCTCAGATGTAAAAGTAATCCTCGCATGCCGGGACATGATGTGCTTCTGACAGTACATCTGAACACAGCCTTGTTTAGGGGTGTGTGTGTGTGTGTGTGCGTGTTAAGTGCTGTCAAGCTGATCGGGGTGTTTGTTCACATGGCTCTCTGCCCACCTGCATGGCTGGTGGGGTTACTGTAGATAGCAGTGTGTGGTCAGCATAACCTTCTTTACCAGTACAGGCATTTTTACGGGTCAGGAGCGGAGGAGGAAGAAAGGCCACTGCGAGACTAGTGTAGTATTGCGCTCAGAGTCTTGTGCTAGGATCTGGGAAGCTGCTAAGGCAGCTTCACTGGGCCACCTTCGGCCAGTCGCAGGCCCTCCGCCTAATCCTACCCCCCCCATGGGACTGTTATCAGGATGAAATGGAAGAAGAAGAAGAAGAGATTGGATTTAGACCCCGCCCTTCACTTGGAGTCTCAGAGCGGCTTACAAACTCCTTTCCCTTCCCCTCCCCACAACAGACACCCTGTGAGGTGGGTGGGGCTGAGAGAGCTCTGACACAAACTGCTCTTTTTCAAGGACAGCTGTGCCAGAGCTTGTTACTGACCCAAGGTCACATCAGCAGGTGCAAGTGGAGGAGTGGGGAATCAAACCCGGTTCTCCCAGATTAGAGTCCGCACACTTAACCACTACACCAAAAGGTAGAGGAGAATGAAGCAAGCCACTCTGGGAGAAAGGCCAGGTATAAATGAAGTAAGTAAAGGGAAAAGGCCGGGTATAAATGAAGTAAGTAAAGGAAGTAGAAGCTAAAGAACCACACAAGGGCAATGGGAGAAGGAAGAGGAACGGAAGGACACAGAGTTTACTGAAGCTTCGTTTCATGAGGGTTAAGTTAAGGCAGAAGTATTGCCGAAGAACCAAGTAAATGTTCTGGGGCGGGAATTTAAGGCATACTGGACCACAAAGGAGGGTGGATGCAGCAGTTTTAAAACGTCTCCTTGTGAAGTCTGAGTTCTAACCAATTATCCAAAGAACCAAAATAGGCATAGAAACAGCCAAGTCTATCAAGCCACAAAGACTGAACAAGAACCTATTTGTTCTGTTTCGGTATGTGGTGCTTTCGCACATGCTAAATGATGCATTTTCAATGCATTTACTGTGTGAAATGGCAAAATCCACTTGCAAATGGCTGCTGAAGTGGATTGAAACTGCATTATTTAGCATGTGTGAAAGCACTCTATATCTCAGGAGTGCCTATGGCCAAGGCAAAAATTCCTGAAAGCCAGATCCTCAGTTTGGATTAATTCCAGATTTTCCTTTAAATTACACATCTATCAAGAAGTTTATTGTCTACGGAACACATAAACTCAGTAGCAGTACAGGCTAAATTGCTCTTAGAATCGCACTTTTTTCATCCCGTAATAATATGTACAAATTTCAGATTGGATGTATGAGGGAAGTGTGATCCTGTATCCACCCCCCCCCCCAATCCAGGGCATTAATATTATTTAACAGCAACACTTCATAAGGGCATCATGTGCACAGAGCAACACGGAAAGCTCTACTATGTTCTTTCCTGACAAGGGCATCATGTGCACAGAGCAACACGGGAAGCTGACTGGTGTAAGGGAACGGATTCAAGCTTTAGCCCTCTCTGTGCTTTTCATGCAAGTAGCAAAGAGGAACGCTACAAAGGAGAAACCCTGTTAAGTCACACCCTGGCCCAAAGCACTCCATATTTAGCTTAAAAACAGCCGTATTGGAACGAGCAGCTTCCATCTCCAGAGACTTGGCAAGGCAGCACATCTTAAATCAAACAGCTACCAAGCAGCGCCACAAACGAGCTTCCATCATCAAGACAGTGGCCCATAACTGGCTCTCAGGGAATGCCATGGATTTTAGCCACAAATGGCGCCCTGTAAAAGGAGAGACGTAACCAGAGTCTTGGGCTGAGCTGAAAGCCAAGACAGTAGTAACCCTTGTGGCAAGATGATAATGTCATTCATATCACAGACCTTTAAAGGCTAGGTTCTATTAGTTGAGGAGCTGCTACTTTAATGGACAGTAAAGGATGCTGGAATGTTGAGACACACAAAATCCAAGCCAACTTGACAGAGCCCTGCCACTGGAACAAAGTTAGGGTACTCTTCTTGGTGCTAATCAAGTGCTTTTTTCCATCTTCAGTTTTCAACTTGTCTTTGGTAGGAAAGACTCCCTGCCTTTGACCTATTTCACAGTAGAATAATCAAAACCCACAAATATGGACTGGTATGCATTGCCGCACCAGCCACAGATTAGCCAACTGGCCACTAGCTGATCTAGTGTGAGTAAATTATCACATCCCAAAGGCAGAAATAGGCTTTGCTCCCCAGCATCAGATGGTGCTCAGCCACTGCAGCTGTTAAGTCGCTCGCTTAACAAAGCAGTCGGAGAGTGATTCAGCAAGAACACAACTTTATTCTTCAACTCGAACACAACTTCAACACGGATCAACATCTGATAGCCAGAACAGCCTTTACATTGCAGCTGTCCTGCTTTTAAACATTCCCGGCTAATGTAGCCACACCCACTGTACAAATACCAACCAATAAGGTTGTTCACATAAGGACCAATCACGGATGTTCCCACTCAGGGAGCTTGCTTGAAAGTGATTGGTTAGGCACTTCCTGGGCTAGTAACACGATTGGATGGATTTGGATCCTAGCCCAGGACGTAGCTTTACATTACACTTCAATTAGATGTTTCACAACATATCATGCATTCAAGGCAGCTTTGAATACACTACAGCAGCAGAGCAGGGAGCCCTGGAGGACATGGAAAGCAGCTGGAGGAGCAACAGACAACCGGGATGACTCTATTGCAGAAATAAGGGATCGGCAAGCGCATCATTTCCTTCTGTGCACTTCTGCATCTCACCTATTACCATGAAAAAGTTAACCCAAGAATTTTGCAGCAATGACCACCACAGAAGATTTTGGGAATTAAAAGTGTCCCAGAGGACATTAAGAACTATTAAAGTGTTAAAAACCATTGCTGTCCTCAACCGTATGCTTGGTGGAACATCTCTACCTTGCAGGCCCTGCGGAATTGTAACAGCTCCCACAGGGTCCTGATGCTAACAGGCAGAGAGTTCCACCAAGTCGGAGCTAGGACTGAGAAGGCCCTGGCTCTAGTTGAGGACAGCCAGATGCTCTTTGGGCCAAGGACTTCCAGTAGATGTTGGGTCACTTGAGCGTATTGCTCCCTGGGGGGCATACCAGGAGAGGTGGTCCCATAGGTACATAGGAACTTATTGCTCAGTGACCCCTGTGGGGGTTCTGCCTGCCCATTGGGTGGGCTGCTCCAAGCCCATTTCCCCCCCAAAGGACAGCCATCTGATCTTTCTACTTTGGCATCTCTGTGCACGTATCAGTTACACACACGCTTGTGTTCCCATTTTCTACTTTGGCATCTCTGTGCACGTATCCATCAGTTACACGCTTGTGTTCCCATTGCTTTGTTGGCGAGTTGTTCCAGATTTCTAAAATAGAAACTTGAAGCTTAATTGTTAAAGCTTGTAGGAACTGCAGCTAATAGATGCTCTTCCTTGTGACATGGTATTTATTAGCTCTGTCACTGGCGTCTGCAAATGCAAAGGGCCATTTCCTGGGGCAGTGTAAATCCAGCTGGCTTCATGGTACAGGCCAGTCATCTAGTCTCAGGATTCAGTGGAAGAGTTATGGCAGTTAAGGAGGATCCACTACTGGTACTTGTCAGACATACTGGAACTCTCCCTCTGTTTTGATCATCTCTGGAGATATCCACAACAAAATGAAGATAAATGGCTTGACTGCTAGTAGTTACTCTGCCTCTACCTCAGAATAGGGAATGAGGCCCAAAGAAGAAGCAGTCTGGATCAACGCAGAGAGACAGGTGGACCTCAGAGAATCATCAAACACGGAGAAGGACCCCGCAGAATTGTCAAACACAGAGAAGGACAACAGGCATGCTTCATGATGTTCTGAAGGCATGCATTAGCTGGGCTACCAAAAGGTACAGGTGCACTCTTTCTACTAGACTCTATAGAAGTTTGTACCTTTCAAGGCAAGCCTGGAGCTTCCCATACTCCCTTGGGAGGGCTTACACACTTTTGCTTAGTAGCAACCTTGCCTGCAGCATAACTTGCTCTTGGGAATAGACATGTTGAAATACAGAGTAGTGTTGCCACCTTCTGAAGTATCCATTGTAGCTATGCCTTTACCTTTTTGCCATGCAAACACCAGTATCTCCTTTCTATGAAAAAAAAAGCTTTCCCTGCAGAAAAGCAAGTCAGGCTGTTTTCTGTCCCTATCAGTTGGCAACCCTACTGCAAACGACTGAATTCACATTAGCAACATTACAGGCCATTGTATGACCACTCTTGGAGTGGCAATTTTTTAAAAAATTGGTCATTGCTGCATTTCCACTAGCGATGTGCCTGGCCCTGGCCATACAATTCAAAGGGTGCTCAGTGGTATTCCTACAGAGGGTACCCAAGTATGAAAATATGGAACCCAAAATTTGCAATAGTTAGCATTTCCACTGTACGCACAAATTGGTTCTGCTCCATACACGACAGAACAGGCCCTCTCTGATGCAAGAGTTGTTTCCCACCTAAGAACCCATCTACCTGTTGCATGCTGCATATAAACACTCAGGCATGTGAGGTTGTTACCTGTACCCCCCTTGCCTCAAAGACCATGTAACGGAGCTACGCAAGAGTTAGCATGAGGCCTTCAGCAGCAAGGAACCTATGCAGAGGCTGTCTCCTCGAAGACAACCATGGGTTCCTAACCCTCTGCATTCCCACAGTCCTCCAAGTCACCCAAGAAGGGCAACAATACGGCACTGCTATAATGATGCATCCACCTCTTCAGCCGCCCGTTTGAGATAGTTATTTATTTATTTGATTGCTACCCCGCCCTCCCCACCGGAGCAGGCTCAGGGGGGCTTACATAAAAGTTAAAACCAGGGGTCGTTTCGTAGAAAAAGAGCTAGGGGAACTCATTAGCATAATGCATTAGCATATGCCACACCCCCTGACATCACCGGAAGTGTGAGCTACGCAAGAGTTAGCATGAGGCCTTCTGCAGCAAGGAACCTATGACATCTGGAAGCCCAGTTTTGTGCAGAGGCTGTCTCCACGAAGACAACCATGGGTTCCTAACCCTTTGCATTTGCCACAGTCCTCCAAGTCACCCAAGAAGGGCAACAATACGGCACTGCTATAATGATGCATCCACCTCTTCAGCCGCCCGTTTGAGATAGTTATTTATTTATTTGATTGCTACCCCGCCCTCCCCACCGGAGCAGGCTCAGGGGGGCTTACATAAAAGTTAAAACACATAAAACAAAGCAAATATAAAACTTGCAAACATACTTGTTTTTTTTAAAACTCTAATGGCGTCCGTAATAATCATCAAAAGCAACAGATGCACTGGCACCTGTCAAGCCTGGAGAGATACTTGCACAGGGAAGTGATTCACATTAGGGCTGGTTACTCTGCAATGGGGGAAGGGATGCCTTTTTATTGTACAGCCTCGCTCAAATGCTAGTTTCCCTTTTTTTGGGTTAAAATATGGTTTGTATTTAATAAACCCATGCCCTACATGTTGCAGTCCTGAAGCACAGCTGGAGTAATCCTCGTGATTTCAGTGGAGTTTCTCTAGTGCTAGGAGCTGAAGGATTTCTGTTTCCAGGGTCTTTCGGAGGAAAGTTGGAGAGCAGTGGGTACTATTCACCGTGGCTCAAGCAGTACCAACACTTGCTGCCTTCTGGCATCAGGTAGTGCTCAAAAGCCCCCCCTGCTGGAGAGTCAGAACAGCAAAGATGGACCCATCTCTGTACACGCCAATGTATTGGTGCAAATTTCAGGGTTTTTAAAAGAAGAATTCTTAACTCTGTCGGCAAGAATAGAAGCTGCTGCTCAGATTACTGTGCACTGTGTGCTTCCAACAGAGACAGGGAACATGCAACAAGGATCAACAGGTTATTATTGTCATTTTGAAACATTTGGGACGTTAACCGCTAAATTTAAGGAGGTAAAAGATTTCTCAGTGAAAAGCAATTTCTTACACGTTTAGTATAGTATAACAACTGCTAATTTACCCCTGAACATAATTACTTGTGCTTCAGCCAGTTTGAATGGGGTCTGTGCATTGGCCGTATCCAAGTCCAAATTTGCTTTGCTACACAGAGACAGGATGGCCATCTTCCACCACCCAGCAGGTCTCCTGTGCTGTTAGCAGCTGCATGAGAGGTAGTAATCAAACAGGTATAACTTTCTTTAGCACACAGATGTACTAATGGGGAAGGCTACACTTACTGACTTTCTGACCTCCAAAAGGAGATAAAAACTCTTTCTGTACCATGCAGGACTGACATGGGCTAGAAGAAAAAATGTTTCAAGTTCTTTAAGAAGCCATACTTTAAAGAAAAATGAGAGATTATGGAGGTTTTGTAATCTGTTTTGTGTCTCAATGAAAAAGGCAGACAATAAAGTAAATAAACAGATAGGTACCAAAACCAAAATTTAAGACACCCCAGTGATCAGTTGCCTAGATTTTTTCCAGTCCTGTTTGGTGGACAATTAAAAGAACGTTTAACTGTCTGTGCTAACCTACTAATCAATAACTCTCTCAGTGGGTATTTATTTAGTGGAAACGGGTTCTAATGTAACCCAAGTGAGACAAACTGTTCTTTGGAAGTGCCACAATTATGGCGCTGCTTGGGTTACTCTATAATTACTCTATGACTGAAATCTCCATTTTGTTGCCACAATGAACACATTGACTGATTTTCAGGTTTTCAAGCCAGGTTTTTTTTTTTTAAAGGACGTGGCCTGCATTGGCCAAACAGCAGCCACTGTATGTTTAAGACAGATCTGTAGCAAGTTGACTCTGTCAGCCTTTGAAGTCTAGCACACCAAGGAAACTAAAGGAACCCTGGTCGCTGCAAAGGAACAGGCTGCCAGGTGCTTGAATTTGATGCTGCACCTGTTGTTTGGAGCATGCCAGGAACTGCAAGCGCCAAACAGCCACATGAAAAGGAGCCACCAGAAGAGCTTCCTGATTTATGCCTTTCAGCACCAGTGCTGGTAGAAAACTGCTTTGCAAATCAAAACTCAGAGTTAATTTTTTAAAACCATTCTCTCTTTTTGACAGGCAAGGGGGGGGGACACTCCAAATACCTAGTACTTCCTTTTTTTCTAGAGACATTCACATACCCTCCCCCATCACGAAGAGAAGAGTGATTCCTGCAATTGGAAACTGATGCAGATTATGTTGGTTGTTGTTATCCATTTCAACAAAATGCTCCAATCTAATTAAGACCAGCTGTCCCCCAGAGGATCCGACTTTATTTTGCAGATGCAAGCCTGGCACCAACAGTTCTCATCTAGCCGGCCCCACAGGGTGAGAGACATGCTGCCAAGCTGACTGGGAACAAAAATGCTGCTTGTATGTTTGGGGGTAAAAGCTTGCAAACTTTCCAGCTATGCAGAAGCCTTTCCTAGGAAGGCGTCATTCATCTGATAAGATATACCTCATCTGTTTTTTCACTCTAAAATATGGACCAACACAAATAACCAGCGGTTCCACTATTGTCTTGGGAGCTGGATGGTCTTTATTATTAAATCTGTAATTTTTCATTACAGACCACTGCAATTTACTCTACAGTGTACAGTGGTTGCCTGTCAAGCGTTGGGTTAAACTGTGTTCCTTGCTAACCAGACCAGCTATGAGACTTTGGCCCAGCTGAGGTGGCACCCCCCCTTCTGCGCTGCTGCTATGATCAAGGCTGCAGGAAAAAGATGGGGGGGAGGGAATCCACTCTGCCGCTTAGCTTAGCGTCACTGGGACACACCTGCCAAAACTCCCACAAGCTCAGGTTACTGCAACTTCATCCTTTACAATGCAAATGTGGACTTTGAGAGCTCCCATTTGAAACAAGCTCCCCATTATCATTTTGGTCCACCCAAACCAAGCCCCCTAGCCAGATTCTCTTGCACTTTTAGTCTTCCAAAGGAATTAGCATTTCCCTGGTTCTGCAACAGCATCTCATGCATCCCCTCATGCACTGTGCAGCTTCTCATATTCAGATATCAACTTCTTTTCCTCATGATTATTTTTGACATCAAGACTTTTCCTTGTAGGCAAAAGAATAAAAACAGTTTGCAGTGATATTTCACGGATATTCTATTGTATGATATGTATGACGTAGTCCCATGTATTGAATATTATGCAACAAGCAGATTATTAAAAGTTTGCAGCTGCTGACTGTAAACCGATGATAAAGGAGGCACAAATGCTTTCCTAATGCCATTCCATTTGTGGAATCGTTTTTGTGAATATGCACTTGCAGCTGATGTTTTAAAGTTCCTGCTCTAGTAAAATGAGCAGGCAGATCCTGGTAGACCTGGCAGATTAACTCTTCCACAGTTGCAGTCCAAGACACACCTACTCGGAAGTAAGGCATATGGAGATGACGGAGGCTTACCGCTGAGTAAACACGTGTCAAGCGAGCTGCAAACAAAACTCTAGATACAACCTTTAAAAAGTTATTCCATACGGTTGGACTGGAAAGGTTAGCTGCAAATTCATCCTAACGCATTACCAGAAACGACTGTTCTTTATTAGTATTCCCGCAGCCCCGAAATTCCTTTTCCCCGTGCACAGCATACTTTCCAGAGTGCGAGTTCCCCGCAAAAAGATGCAAAGTGACCATTTTTCGAAATCTAAAGTTAACTCTGAATAGAAATGCATTCAAAATAAACAACTCGTGAACCCCGAAGCCTTCTGGCCCTCCAACCCCACACCCCGCCCCCTCTCCCCCTGCAAGCCCGGGTCTTTAAATGCAATCCAGTTGACTCCCCCCCCCCCTTTCCATCTGTCAGGGCGCGCGAAGCATGCTTGCGCCTCACGGCAAGTAACTGCGAGAAATCCACGTACCCAGGCGCACTCCGGGAGTCTGGCGGTAGTGCGGTCCGCTCGCGGGCTGGGATTTTAAGGCCCCCTTCCCTCAGGCGCATCGAGAGAGGCTTGGCGATTTCCCGCCGCCGCGCTGCTCCAGCCCGAAGAGCGACAAGAGACCGCCACACACTCGCACCGGCGCCGAGAAAGCCACTGGGGCTCACCAGCCCGCGGCCAGGAGATTCTCTTAAGCTCTCTGTGACGCACAGGCGAAGGGGTGGGCAGCGAGGGCGGGGGGATCCTCTGACGCACGCGCCCGGCTGCAGCCTTCACCATACAAGGCAAAAAGGGGCGGAATGTTCCGGCGCCCGCGGGGCAAGGGGAGGGGTCGGAATGTCTGTGCGGGTGACGCACGCGGGGTTCCATTGACGCACGCCTTGGAATTGTTTGATCTAAAAATAGCACGAGCTGCCCCCGGCTAAAAATAGAGCCTTTTCCTAAGCGGGGGGAGGAGAGAAAGTGTCATAGGAAGAACCAAAAACGGGGAACCGGCAGGATCCGAGGCACGGAACTGCAGGGGCGATGGCAGCAAGCTGGGGGTGCAGAGCGGGAGCGCAAAACTCGCGGACCCATCTGTTGCCGGCGTCGCGCTAGTCCCACTGGATTCTTCACCCCGCAACTCTGGAGCAAAGTCCACGTCCCGGGACGCCGCTCTGCAATACAGACACACCTTTAGCCTTCAGTGCCGCTTGCGCCCCCTTCCTGCCCGTTGCCCTCCTCCAGCCCAGCCCAGGTGGGTCCCGGGATAAGTCCCAGCCCAGCCCGCCCACTGTTGCGCCTTCCTTGCCTCTCGGCTTCTAGGGTCCTCCTCCATCTCTCCCCCCCCCCCGCCCCAGCCAGTAGCTCCTCCCCTTCCTGGGAGCAGGCATCGCTCCGACCTGTAAGAGGCACCGGCTTCAAAGCAGAGTTCTCAAAGGAAGTCCATCGAGGCTTGCAGGCGCGTGCCAGAAAGGGGGGGAGGCATTGCTTCTGATGGTGGCGGGAGCCTGGCACGACAGCCCCAGCTGTGGCCCAGGACACCGGGAAGCCCTCAAAAACCTTCTACACCGCCGGCGTCTGTGCCCAGAGAAAGACTGAAAAAAACCAAGAAATGGGTGGGGTTGGGGTTGGGGTTGGCTGGGGTTACAACTATTACTGGCCTGGCCCTCCAGGTCTTTAACAGCTGACTCTGAAAACCAGGAGATATGAAGCGATGGGGAAAGTTTTGCTTTTTGAATCTCCCTTATAGTGGGCTCTCCTGCCAACCTAGCAGTTCGAAAGCAAGAAATTGCAAGTAGATAAATAGGTACCACTTCGGTGGGAAGGTAACAGCGTTCCGTGCGCCTTGGTGTGTAGTCATGCCGGCCACATGACCACGGAAACGTCTTCGGACAGCGCTGGCTCTTCGGCTTTGAAACGGAGATGAGCACCGCAACCCTAGAGTCGGATTCGACTGGCTTTCGAGCAAGGGAAACCTTTACCTTTACCTATAGTGGGCTGCTGGTTAAAAAGCACGGGAGGGGAGCCAGTAAAAAGGTGACTGCTCCCAGGAAAGCGAATTTTAGCAGATCTCCCCACCCCAATCCCATCACCATTGACAAAAGCTGGCCTCCTCCTGTCTTGATGCAATGGACTATTTTAAATTTACCTTTCATTTACAACACTCCCTCTATGCACTGTTACTATCAAGCCTGCGTTCTTAACCCAACCCTAGAAAGCGTCAGTTCTTTGCACAACATAAGGGGTGTTTAAAGACATCGATATGCACCATTGCATAAACACTGACACAGATTTATTAAGGACAACTCCTTTGAGGGATAGAGGAAAAAATGCAGTCACTGGGGAAACTGATCTTTGTTAAGATAAAAAGCAGAGCCCAGCTGAGCTGCAGGAAACATTTTTTCCCCTTTATTGCCAGTTCCAGCCGGCAGGGTGTGTTTAGAGGGAAACAGCCTTAGTGGAACCCCGTGAGCTTGCTCAATCAAGCAAGGGAAACCAGAGATGTGGGTGACTCAGGAGTCCAGAAAATTAGGTCAGCTTCCAGTCTGGACCTCGGCACACCTGTTGCTGGCTGGGTGGCTTCCCCTCCATGGCCTACCCCTAAACACATCGTGGAAGCGTTTCACCAGCTTCCGGAGAGCCTTGTTTATTTTCTGATTTATTTGGGAAGTTTGTGTGCCTCCCTCTCCAGAGCCCTTGGAGACAGCTCACAAGTAAAACAATTAAAGGCAGAGATAATTACAACAAATCATGCCAAGAAAAGAAGCCAGCTCAATAAACAAGTGTAGCAGCACATGAAACAAACAGAGCAGGTATTGATAAAACAGGCAAGGACCAGACCATAAAACAGCTTTCAACAGACAGACAGCATGGTGCAGGGGTTAGTGTTGGACTAGGATCTGGGAGACCCAGGTTCAAATTCCCCCTGTCAGTGAAGCTCACTGGGTGACCCTGGGCCAGTCACACACTCTCATCCTCACCTACTACCTCACAAGGATGTTGGGAGGATAAAATGGAGACGAGAACAACATAAGTCCCTTTGGGTCCCCGCTGGGGAGAAAAGGGTGATATAAATAAATGAAAAGATGGCACCCTTTAGTTAGAAGGCTGGGGTAAAGAGACAAGCTTTAGCCTAGTGCCAAAAGTAGAGTCAAATAGGCACCAGGAGGCCTTCTTTCTTTTTTTTTGGGGGGGGGTCCCAAAGGCAAGGCACCACCACTGAAAAAGCCCCATCTCTGGTCACCGCCCACCTCACCTCTGGAGATAGGAGCAGAGACCAGGAGGGCGCAGGAGAAGGATCTTCACTGCTGGGCAATATGGGAGGAGGCTTAGGAGAGCTGTCCTCCTGAGGCGGGGCACAACCCAAGCCAGTTTGGGGCAGTGGTTAAGTGTGTGGACTCTAATCTGGGAGAACCGGGTTTGATTCCCCACTCCTCCACTTGCACCTGCTGATGTGACCTTGGGTCAGCCACAAGCTCTGGCACAGCTGTCCTTGAAAAAGAGCAGTTTGTGTCAGAGCTCTCTCAGCCCCACCTACCTCACAGGGTGTCTGTTGTGGGGAGGGGAAGGGAAAGGAGTTTGTAAACCGCTCTGAGACTCCAAGTGAAGGGCGGGGTATAAATCCAATCTCTTCTTCTTCTTCTTCAAAGACCCCCCCCCTTTCTTTGGAACCAGCTCTCCAACCCTACTTAAATCTTGGCTCCTCTGCAGCACAGTCCCCTACAGGAGACGGGAACAGCAGCCCACGGCACAGACAAGTTCAGACTCCTGTGCTCCAGTTCAAATTGGGTCAGTTGCAAGTCGCAGTTCCACATGAATCGGTTTAGCTCGGAAATCTATATGCCACCTGTCCCGAAAGCTACACAGAGTGGCTCATGAAGTTAAACATGATTTTTTTTTAAAAAAAAAATCACTATCAAAGCAAGCTATAAAAAGCATAATTTGAGCATTTTAAGCATCTCAAGGGTGTGTACAGCAGCATGGTTAAAAGCGGTAAGATGACAGTTTGCAGATGAACAAGTTTAAGTCCACTCTTCCAAAGCCTTCCCAGCTAGCATCCTGTCTTCCTCCACTACACGGGGAGAAGACTCCTAAGAAAATCATAATGCCCAAATAGGCCTGTCCACTGCAGGCCAAAATAGTGAAAGGCCTACTAGATGTTCGAAGGAAGCCATCTGACCACCCGTCCTGTACAGTTCAGCAGCCCCACTGGCTACTGCTCTTCAAATCACTTAACTTCCATCCCACCCTCCTCAGTGCAGTCAACTGTTGTGTGCTCAGGAAGCTCCGGCCTCTTAAGGACAATGCAGCTTCAAAAGGAAGTCACTAATCATCATTCTCCCTCCTCACTGACTAATTCACATGACTCCATGCTATTGGCTGTGACAACCAAAAGCCACGAAAGAACTGGAGCATGGCTGTTTAGGGGGCGGGATTACTGAATTCCATTCCGTTCCACTGAAGTCTGCCGGCTGATGTCCTGCAAGATTTTTGGAAAGATAAAGGCATCCTTGTGTAGCCCAGGGCTCTGCCCTTTCAGAGTTCCAAGCTTCGCAAGAGATATTTCTAACCTAACCCTACTCTATCGTCAGTTGTTGTTGTTGTTTGAACATATTGCCAAACAGATCCAGCTGAAAAAAGATTCTGGTTAGTTTATGTTAAAATGTAGCTTTTTTAAAAAAACTGGAAATTTATTTTTCTTGTTTTTTTTAAATTCTCTATGGCCTTCATTTTTGTTAATGCAATAGTATCCCTTGATGTAGTATTATATGTACTGGGCTGTATCAGTGCGGTACCACCATGCCACAGAGTCCACCCTCCAAAGCAGCCATTTCCTCCAGGGGAGCTGATCTTGGCCGTCTGGAGATCAGTTGCAATAGCAGGAGATCTCCAGGTGCCACCTGGAGGTTGGCCACTGTAGTATGGACTGATTAAATTTTGCATTTTTGCATTTGTTACTGTTCTCTTCTCTTTTACAATGAAGTCATAATAATAATTTTTAAAAGGAAAAACGTGATACATTTCTATGACTTTTGAAGTAGCTTCCATGTGCCATATGTCTTCACTGCCGCCTATCCCACTCAGAAGACTAGAACAGAGGTGGGCTGGCTTCCAAGTCTTGCTCGGTCTACTTTTTAAAACAAACTGAACTTCCCATTACCAACTATTGTGTTTTATGCTTTCAAAGCAAGTATGCATACTCAGGACCTCTTTAACAATCAAGGCATAACCAAACTGTGTCAAGCAATTCTGTGCCAATGGGATAACCTAGTAATGCTGTATACACACCGTTATGGGGCAGGTTCCAGCTTCCAGCTTCAGTTTCTGATATTTCTCAGGAATATTTATTTATTTATTAGATTTGTACCCCGCCCTCCCGCCAAAGCGGCTCAGGTCGGCTTACAATGTTAAAACCAACATAAAATACACTCAATAAAATTACAGAAAATTACAATTTAAAACCAATTAAATGTGGCAGCGTGATATTATAAAGTGCAAATGCAACACAACTGATGAAGTCATTCTTACTGGAACGCCCGGCAAAAAAGCTCCGTTTTCATGGCCCTGCGGAATTGCTGGAGGTCCCGCAGTGCTCTGATCTCACTTGGGAGCTTGTTCCAGAGCGTTAGTGCCGCCAGGGAGAATGCCCTGGTCCTAGTAG